GAATTTTGGCATTCATGGCCTGTCGTTAAACATTCATCAATAGCCCCCTTTATTTTCATTTAAGAGGGGCTTGATCCTCGCATCTTGTTTTCTAGGTATTGCTATAAATAGTGGCTTCAACAACCATGGTAAGGACATGAAATTTTTGGCAAAACTTATGTTATACTTTATTCTCAAGCTAAATAATGCAACTTTACTTCATGTCTAATATTACTCTTACTTCTGTCCATGGAAGCATTGCTCCCCAAGTCAAGCTTGGCATTTCCTTTGATTTTAATGCTAAGTGTTATTTTTAATTAATTTATTCATTATTTTGTATCAAATCAGTTCGCTTGTTTACAAACCACGTAATAAATTCAACTATACCGTTTTACGGATAAACACATGTAACTCAACTCTTTGAGAAGTTAAGCATTTAGAAGACCATGGACGCAAGGTTCGAAAATTTCAAACCTATTAATTAGTTAAACTCGAAACGTGTCTAATTACATACAAAAATAATTAGTATGCAATTGTAGGTGCGGGACCATACTTCTCGCTAGCTCATTCACTACATCTTGACTTGTTATTTGTGACGGAAAGAAACTATTCGCAACAAATGAATTAAAACCATCACGCTTGGAGCTGAAGATCTACTTGTTTATGCTCTTCACTTAGATTAGGTATACTAGTTTAACATGGCAATTGTGAATCATAAATTCAAAGCTTACGTAACTAGCTCCTAAACTTAGCCTCAATTGCCATTTTAATACTTTAACTAATCCTTGACCGATTAAAAACTCAATGCATGTTTAAAATGTGCTTATTACTTGCATTGATTTAACATCCCGATCCTCCTACTTCACCGGATTTCATTTGAACACCTGAACTTGCTCAAATCTAATAATTTAAACCCCTCTAGCTGTTGACAAAACATACTTGCCAATGATATAGATGAGTTGGACAAAATGTATGATATTCACGTGTTTGAGTAGCGTGAATGGGTGAACTTAACTTTAAAAATGATTAAAATAAATAAAAACAAAAAAGAAAAGGCAAAAGAAAGAGGGGTAAAAGGTCCGAAAAATAATAGAAAAAAGGATCCCATTTTTGTTCAAACTCAGCCACCCCACCTTTCTTCTTCCTTTTTGCTGTCACTGTCACCTTTTTATTTCTTCTCAATAAACCAATAAAATCATATGCTACTCCATACTCCATATATATCTTTAAATCTAAATAAAAGATAAAGTCTAAGAAAATATGCTAAATTCCTAATTGAATAAAAATTTCTCTTTCTGTTTTTTCCTCGTTTCATGGTCCAACTCAGTTCAAATCTCAGCTACGCCAAACAGTCTCTTTTGCTGTTTATTTTGATTTATTTTATATATATTCTCAAAAGAAAATTGGTTGTCTAATTTGATTTTAATCCTTGATTTTTTTCGTATTTTAGGTGAGCTTTGGGAATTGATTGATTTTGCTTTATATTCCAAAGAACCAAAAAAAAAAAAATGAATATGTTATTCGATTTGAATTCTTTAATTTTCCTGTAATTTTGGAATCATTTTTGGATCCTCTTTGTGGGTTTTAGTTCTGGTGACGATTCAAGAACTTACTTTTTTGGTGGGGTTTGATTAAAAAGCTTATTTTATAAACTCAAATGGATGAGAAAAAGGGTGTAAATGGTAGCAAGGAATTTATAGGTGGAAAGAGAATAAGAATGGAAGATTCAGAATTGTATATCTTTCTCTGAGTTTGGAGGACCAAAGAGAATGATAGGAGTTTTTTTCATTTTTTGATTTTAATTTTTTTAATCAAATTTATAATTACTGAAATTGATTATGACGCGGTAACTAATATAGATCTGATGTGCCATTCACGTATGAAAGATTGAGATACACGCAGGGTTGGAGGTGCTTAAAAGAATATACTCCCTCCGTTTCAATTTATGCGAACCTGTTTGATTGGGTACGAAGTTTAAGAAAAAATGAAGACTTTTGAAATTTGTGGTCTTAAACAAATCAAAAAGGGGCCCAGAGTATTTGTGTGGTTATAAAAGATTCTCATTAAGAGTAGAATTATAAGTTTAAGCTAAATTATTTTCAAATTTAGAAATGAGTCATTCTTTTTAAAATCGATCAAAAAGGAAATAAGTTCACATAAACTGGAACGAGAGAGTATTTAAACAAGTTCAAGTATATGGATGAAACTTGGTGAAGCAGGAGGTTGGGTATTTAAATCGATGCAAGTAGAGATGCCAACTAGGTTATTCTGCCTATTAATTAAAAATCCTCACTAACAACTAGTAAAAAGAAAAATAGTGTGCAATTCACATCTATGGGTTTAGTTAGTTTTTAAAATTCTTAGTATTAAATATATTATATTTTAAAAAGTATAGATTCGTGCCTATCATTTATTGTAATTTTAAAAAAGCAATTACATATAAATTTATGTTCCGTATTGAAAGTATTGGATTCAAATGAACTCGTTACAACTACTCTACTCCTAGAGCATATGCATGGCTAATGAAATTCTTTTTGGGATTATTTCATTTCCAAGACTCAATTATGTCTTTTTAAGATAAATTAATTAGGGGTTCTACGCATCTTACTCATCTCTACATTATATTTATACTATATTAAAAGCACGAAGGCCCTTAGCGAAATTCATCATTTTTACCCTTTTAAAATAAAGTTCATACTAGACAAATTAGTCTTTTAATTATTTTTTATATATTTAGGAATAGTCATTTAATTTTTTTTAATATTTAAAAATAATTATCTAATTATTTTTCTAATACTTAAGATTTTAATTTTTAATTCTTTCCTATTCTAGAATTGATATACTTTCAACTACATAAAAATTTAGGAATATAAAATAAGCACTTTCAATTGCACACAAGGATATTCGACATCTTTCAATTTAGGAGTATTTTTTCTTTCTTTTTCTTCTAACTTTGTACACCGCTTGCCTTTTATTTCATTTAGAATATATTTGAGGATAGTACTAAATCTTTTCAAAGGGATATCTTTAGGAGTAAAAATTATCTCACTGAGTAATATTGTTGCATTTACCATTTTATACGTGAAAATAAAATACTAAATAAGAAAATGAGGTTACAATTTGCCGAAAATTATTTGTATATATTTATTACAGAAAAAAATAAATACCAAAAAAGAAGAATTCATAAAAAATTTAAAAATAAAAAGAAAAATGCTTTTGTAAATTTTGTAATAAATTTTAGAAAATATAAACAATTTAAATATATTTTTGAATCAAATTAGGCTTACTTTTGAAAACTTTTTATTTAAATGGGAACTGATTATAGACACACAAGAAAATTAAAGCGCTACATATGTGAGAATTGATAAAAAGAATAAATTCTAATTTTGATTAGCTTGAATTTCATATTCTATGAACGCAACTTTTTCATAATCAAACAATTGCAAGTAATACTACTACAATCATATACTCTTACTTTTCATAGATAACAACATCCAAATGCATCCAGATGAAGAGTCGAAGATGCATGATTATGTGTTTAGATAAAGGAAGAATTATAGATTAATCATACTGTAGCGGTTGAATTAATCTATTTTTGCAATAATAATTTATTATTTTTTATTATGTTGGAAATAATTCCTATATAGTATCTGCCAAAATAATTGAATAATTTGCATTTTGATCATGAGAAAAAAATATGTTTTTCAAGTTAGTCGACTATATTTCTGTCTTTTTAGAATGAACTTAAAAATATGGGGTACACGCGCAACATACGTAATGGTCATATAACTATGATCTTTATTCACTAAAGTCATATAACTATGTTTTCTCACACAACAATCATAAAACTTTCACTAACTCACACAAAAATCAAAATGACCAGAAAACAAATTTTTCCTGTAATTGTTTTTTATTCCACATTTTTTTATTTTTTATTTTTATTCTAATAATAATAACCCAATTAAAATAGAAATTACCAACCGAACCCGATCCTATCCTACCCAATACCCATATACATAAATTAAAATAATACTAAAAGTGAATCCCCCCCGAAACACGATACTTCTATCGTTTATTATTCTTTTTATGATTTTCATTGAAATTGATAGCATTATTATTTCAAGAGGTCTCTACGTATCCATACCTTTTTTTGTCAGAATCTCATGCATTCCAAACTACGTTTTTTTGGTGAACGATTCAATTTTAGTATCATTTGTTTTTTTATGTATATGGGTATTGAGTCGAATTGGGTGATTTCTATTTTAAGGGCTAAAAATTGATTGGTCGGTCGAAACTAATTGCATCAGCTAATCAAAAATATATAAAATATGTCTATTATATGTATATAATATACATACATACAAACTATATATTTTGTCGGCTATTATTTTTGGAGCTGCTAAAAGTATATATATTTTTATTTTAATTAGGTTATTATTTCTTATACTGAAAATAAATAATAAAAGAATGTGAAATAAGAAAATGATTTTTCAGTCACTAAATATTTTTTGTGAGTTAGTGAAACTTTTGTGATTTTTATGTGAGAAAATATAATTATATGATTTTGATGAAAAAGAATCATAGTTGCACGAGCATTTGTGAAATTTACACTACAAATGTCTAAACAATCTATAACACTCCTAAGAACACCCTATATAATGTATGTGCACCAGCAAAGAACAAGATTTAAACCCAACTAGTTCGTATCCTTAATAATCCTTGCCTTATTGTTATTGACTTCATAATTTCCATATTGGATAGTTTGATCAGTCAAATGATCTGATCAATATAATTTGAATACAACATANGGAGGGAGAGAGCCGATGGTCTATCGGAAACAACCTCTCTATCCTAGAGTAGGGGTAAGGTCTGCGTATAAACTACCCTCCCCAAACCCCACTAGTGGGATTATACTGGGTCATTGTTGTTGTCTTTAATTATTTAATCCCATATTTAATAAGCATTGCTTTAACAAGATCCCTTCCTCCTCCTCCTCCGAGCAAATAGTTACACTGCTTTAATTATTGGTGGTCTGATGGGAACAATTTGTTGTAGGCTAAAGCCACATTTGTAGTGCTAAAACCACCATCAAGAACGAGATTCATACCACTCACATATTTGGAATCATCACTTGCCAAATATAGCACTGCTTTTGCTACCTCCTCTTCATCTAATAATGCTCCTTTCAAATTTCCTCCTTCTGCAAACCATTTGTCCGCCATTTCTCTCTCAGCTATTCCAAGCCCATTTAATGCAAGTGGTGTGCCAACGTAATGAGGAGAAACACAGTTAACTTTTATTCCGTACTTTCCTAATTCGACTCCAATGTTCTTGGATAGCCCCAAAACCGCACACTTTGATGCTGCATATGCGTGCGGGGCAAGACCAGAGACCACTGTTGCAACACTTGCTGTGAATATAATGGAACCTTTCTTGAATGGAATCATCACTCTAGCAGCATGTTTCGCGCAAAAGAAGGCGCCAATAATGTTTACATCGAACACTGTCTTAATTATGTCGTAATCGACCTCTAAGATGCTGGATATTGGCTTACCCAATACACCAGCGTTACTGAACATTGTGTCCAGCTTACCGAACTTTTCGCCGGCCTTAATACGCGAAGTTGAAAAGGAATTGCTGTTAACCTTGGGGACTTCCTCATAAATCTGGACCCTTTTTACGGACCGTACCTCGAACGCAAAGGGGTCAGGACTTGGCATCGTGTTGAAACCTCCTACGGGTAATGTAGTTAGGCAAACTATTAGAATTAAGAAATTGACTGAGACCGAGTATGAGGCCATGATTGCATGTCTAGAATTGGCTAAAAGCCTTGGGACTGAGGTGGTCGAAGCTAAGTGTGATTTCCTCCTTGCGGTAAATCAAGTCAATGGGACGTTCGAAGTAAAAGAGGAACAAAGGCGAAGGTATTTAGATAAATTGTAGGTAACGCTGCATCAATTCAAGGAATGGACCCTATAGCACGTGCTCCGAGATCAAAATAGCGAGGTTGATGCTCTGGCTAACTAGGGGTCATCAGTTGATGACGGTAAATTTAGCTCAGGAAGAGTTATACATCTCATGAAATCGATAGTGAAAGAAGTCCATGCCGAAATAAACTCAATAAGTTTAACTTGGGATTGGAGAAATAAATGCATAGACTATTTGAAGACCGGGAAGTTTCCCTTGGATCCTAAAGAATCTAGAGCTCTACGCACGAAGGCGGCCAGGTTTAGCCTGTCCGAAAGGACTCTGTTCAAGAGAACATTCGACGGCCCGCTCGCCATATGCTTGGGGCCGGGAGATACTGAATATATCTTGAGAGAAGTTCACGAAGGCACCTGCAGAAACCATTCAGGGGCCGAATCTTTAGTTCGGAATATAATCAGGACCGACTATTACTGGATTGACATGGAGAAAGATGCAAAGGACTTTGTACGAAGATGCGCCGGCTATCAAATGCACGCACCGATGATCCATCAACCCGGAGAACTACTTCATTCTGTCTTGTCCCTATGGCCGTTCATGAATTGGGGAATGATCATCGTCGGTCCCCTGTCGTGGGCACCTAGTAAGGCTCAATTCAAACTGTTTATGACCGATTATTTTTCTAAATGGGTCAAAGATCAAGCGTTCGAGAAAGTCCGGGAAAAAGAAGTCATTGACTTCATTTGGGACCACATAATATGTTGGTTCGGGATACCGGCCGAGATCGTGTGTTATAATGGGAAGCAATTCATCAGCAGCAAGATAAACAAGTTTTTCGAAGACCACAAGATTAAAAAATATTATCCACACCCTATCACCCTAGTGGGAACGGACAAGTAGAATCTACAAACAAGACCATACTCCAAAACTTGAAAAAGAGGTTGACCGATGCCAAAGGGAAATGGAAGAAAATTCTGTCTGAAGTCTTGTGGGCATACCGTACACCTTCGAAGTCTAGTATCGGGGCCACCCCATTTTCATTGGTCATTCGTGCCTAAGCATTAATACCAGTCTAAGTGGGAGAACCGAGCCTCAGATTTCAATATGCTACCGAACAACTGGAACGTGACGCACTTAAAGCGGTACTGCTACTAAGGTGCGATCTCATTTACCATTTTATAATATTATGAATATGGCTAACACTTGCAGGATATAACCAAAGGAGAATGTGACTATTAGGTCTGAAAGCACGCGTTGCACTCTTTTTTCCTTGAACCAATTTTGTCCCAAATGGATTTTCCGGCAAGGTTTGTAACGAGGTAACAGTAAATCATGCTAACTTAGATTTGAAGACCGATTTTAAATAGGAGTTAATGGACACATCAAAAATAACCTATCCCTCTCAAGATCGACCTCGAATACTAGGGGCCATCACCCTCGGGTTAAGGTTCTTAGCAAGGAAAGAAGGAAACTTTGTACTTGAACAACTTAGGCTCGGTTGTTGGGATTTATTGTAAGGGCCAAACGGTCAAGTGAACTGTGCCCGCGTAGGCCACCTTAGCCATAATACAAGCTTTTACATGCTTTTGATCATGTCCTTTACACACAGAAATGAAAGAAAGTTTTCATCTTGCTATTACGTATTGTTGCCTTTTCAAACATAGAGCCTAAGGGCTACCCTTATTTGGGGACTATCGAGCCTAAGGGCTACCCCTATTCGGGGACCATCGATCCTTAAGGCTACCCTAATTCGTGCAATATCGAGCCTAAGAGCTATCACTATTTGGGGACTATCGAGCCTAAGGGCTATCCCTACTCGGGGACTATCGTCCGAAATAAGTTCAGGCAACTCGGGCTACCAAAGCCCAGAGGCACAAAACCTATTGTGATAACCCAAAAAGTCATCTTATGTTTTAGAACTCGAATCTGTGTTCTTAAGCCTTAAAAATTACATTTTTACCCTTCTCAATTTGCGTGCGTATTCCGAAAGGGGAATGTTTCGGAAAAACATTTATGTTAAAAATTGATGAAAATAAGAATTTTTGCCTTAAAAGTTAATTTTAGTTGACTTTGGTCAATATTTTTAGTAAACGGGACCGGATCCGTGTTTTGACAGTCCCGGTAGGTCCGTATCGAATTATGGGACCTGAGCGTATACCCGGAATTGAATTGAGAGGTCCCTATCTCGAGTTATGAATTTTTTTATAAAAATTAAAAGTCTGAAAATTTTTTATTTTTAAGAATTGGTTAATTCTAATATAATACTTATGACTTATCTGTAAAATTTGGTGAGAAACGGAGTTGGTTTGACGTGATTCAGACGTCCAGTTGAAAAAATAGGAATTTTAAAGTGTTCTTGAGAATTTCATTTGATTTGGTGCTAAATTCACAGTTCTAGGTGTTATTTTGGCGATTTGATCGCTCGAGCAAGTTTGTATGATGTTTTTAGACTTGTGTGTATGTTTGGTTTGGGGTGAGTTTCGGATAGGCCACGAGATGATTTGGACTTTGGAAAATCTGGTCTTCTGCAAATTCTGGTGTTCTGGTATGTCCTTCTTTGTGTTCGCGAAGATACTCTCATGAACTCGAGGAGTAAACTGATGAGGCTGGTATTTTCTTCTTCACGAACACGAAGGCTTGGTCGTGAACGCGAAGCGATGGGGGCGCTACCCTTCACGAACGCGACAAGCACCACACGAACTTGTAGTGTTAGGCACTGGGNGGGGGGGGGGGGGAGGGGGGAAGTCAGTCATTCCTTCATCGCGAACGCAAACAATGTATCGCGAATGCGAATGGCAAGGGGGTAGCCTACCCGAACAAGGTCTCGCGAACGCGAAGGCTTTGCAACCTATACCCTTCGCGAATGCGATGAACACTGTCGCCCAACACTTAACATAATCCAAAAATGGGAATTTGCCATTTATTTCATTTTCTTAAAACCCAAACGGACTAGAGGAGATTTGTAAGGGTTGTTTTCTTACCCAAAGTGTTGGTAAGTGATTCTAAACCATTTTCTTTCAATTACCCATTACATTTTATGAATTATCAACCTAAAATCTAGAGTTTTCATGGTAGAATTAGGGGTTAGGGTAGAAACTAGGGATTTCGAAAAATTGGGGATTTAGACCTCAATTTGAGGTTGGATTCAAAAACCAATTATATATCCGGGCTCGCGGGAGAATGGGTAAATGAATTTTGGTTCGAACCTCGGGTTTTGACCAAGCGAGCCCGGGGTCGATTTTTAACTTTCTGAAGGAAAATTTGGGAAATTTAATTTATGCAATATAATTGATTCCTTTAGCAATATTTGATATTATTGAATTGTTTTTGAATAGATACATGTGGTTTGGAGTTGAATTCTAGAAGAAAAGCTGTGATTGAGAATTAAGTGGCCTACGGAGCAAGGTAAGTGTTGTGCCTAACCCTGACTTGAGGGAATTAGGAACCTTAGACTATTTGCTATGTGAAATTCATATGAGTGGCATATATGTGAGGTGACAAGTACTTATGCGCCGCCAATTTATCTATTTTCCATGTTTCTTCTGTTTTTCTTATATTGTCTCTTTCCTATGCCTAATTGCTACGTGTTTATACTAGTGTTGTTAACTTGATCGTTCATATCATGTTTACGGATTTTCTGGTGATAATTGAGAATTTATTTCAAAGTAAAGTTGATATTGTGGAACCAAATGTTGAAGTAAGGCTTGTACTTGTTATTCTATCTCCCTGTTGTTATTTATGCATTACATTATGGTAAGGGAGAGTGTTTATGCACGAAGGGTGAATCCGTGCCATGTTGTGAGTGTTAATGCACGAAGGGTGATGCCGTGACATATTGTGAGTGTTTATGCATGAAGGGTGATGCCATTCCATATTGTGAGTGTTAATGCACGAAGGGTGATGCCATGCCATATTGTGAGTGTTAATGCATGAAGCGTGATGTCGTGCCATATTATGAGATTTAATGCACGAAGTATGATGTCGTGTTGTTTCTATTGATTTATGGTGAGACTGAGAGTAAAAGCACGAAGGGTGATGCCGTGCATTTTTCCTTTACTATATTCGCGTTCCTGTTGATTCATAATATATTGGTTATTCCAGTTATCATTCGGTTGTAGTTCTTTATCTCGTATTTCCCCCAACATGTTTCCCCTTCCCGATATCGCATGTCTAATTCTTCATTACTGTTATTTGTATATACATTGTTAAACTGTATAGGTTGATTTATAGGTGCCTTGCCTTATCCTCGTCACTACTTAGTTGTATTTCTTTCAGGCTATTACTTGTAGTAACTTCTATAATGCTCGTAAATTATGGCTCCAGATCCGGGTGGTAGTAATTAATGCAGTTTTTATATTATTCCGCACTTATTATATTTCACTTTAGTTAATTTGCTATTATTTACTGAGTGGGATAATAGTGGGTTTAATGATTCTCTAACGTTGGCTTGCCTAGCAAGTGAAATATTAGGGGCCATTACGGTCCCGACGGTAGGAATTTCGAGTCGTGACAAGTTGGTATCAGAGCACTAGGTTGCCTAGGTCTCACGATTAACGAGCAAGCTTAGTAGAGTCTGGAGGATCGGTATGGAGACATTTGTGCTTATCTTCCTGAGGCTATAAAGTTTAGGAACAAATTTCACTTATATTCTCGTCTGTCGTGCGATGTTGTTTTCTCAATACTG